AAATACTATGTTCATGCAGACACAAATAAGATATTTACCATCTTCAGCACTAAGTACTAATTCTTCTTTTGGCATATCTACTTTTCCTTTATCTGTGCAGGAAAAAGGAACAGTTAGTAAGATTGCTGTTCAAGAAGGCAGTATGGATTATAGTGCCAGCCACAGAGTTTATAATAAATAAGGTCAAAATCAGAAGAGGCATAGCCAAGGCTAAATGCACAAAGCACAAGGTTAAATGCTGTCCATATAACAAACACTTTCTACTTGGATTACAAAATGCAACTACTATGCTACAAAAGGGAGCTCCCATGTTATTGTTTAATACAGGTTACATCAGTACAGTGCTACGTGGATGCATGAGGTCCTACAGGCAGTTACAAATAAGCGACAGCACATGAAAAATAAAGAGAAATAAGAATTTTTATATCTGTATTTTAAATTAGAGTAAGATGCCTGAAGTGACCAGCTCCTTCCAAAACCCATGGCTCTATTCACAAATATCTATGTGCATGAAGTTTCACTCATTTTCCCAATTATGCATAGCAATCAACAAATTATTGCAAAAATACACAACTGTGAACATAAGTGTGAGTGAAACTTTGAACACATTTAATTGCAAAATTTAAACAGGAACTCTGAGCCAAATTTACTGCTGGTGCAAGTATGTGCAACTTTACTCAAGTCAGTACAGCTTGCTCTCACATGCGCCACTCAATTTGCCTCGTACCTGATTTCACTCACAAATGGGTATTTATTGAATACCTCTTTGGGGGTTTGCCTATCTCCTTATGACAAAACAAGCATAAAGTCCACTACTGAGCAAAGCCATACTGGTTAAGACCAATGCAATGCATATTTCTCAGAAGGCTGCTGAGTGGATACGTTTATACGAACACTACTGTGTAAACTCCATGCAAGTTATTTATAAATAGAGCTGGCCCATAAGAGAAAACTGTAACCACTGAGAGACTATTTCAGGAAACTCAAGTCTGCTCTAGCTTTAAAAAGCCCCACGCAAATGGGAGGACAGGATTAAATATTTTCTCAGTCACAGCACAGACATTTATGGATTTATAGCTAGTGGGAAAGAAGAGTTAAGCGTTCTTTAAACCTTCTTTAAAGCTTGCTAGTGGAAATAGGAATGGACATGGCAATTGCATCCTTGCCCTCCTATTTCCTGCCATTCCAGGTATAATCATTGTTACAAAGATGGCTCTCTGCATGGAATGTGAGAGGAGATGAGGGAACGAATCATGCCTCAATAAAGCGTGTAAAAAAGAAGCCTATTTTATATTCAGCTGTGACTGAGAAAGAAATCCAGGAATGAGTGTTCAAAATGAGCATGCAGTATTGAAATAAAAACTTGGTCAAAAGCACCATTTAGATGGGTGCACTGCTCCTTTTTTCTTAATCAGAAGTAGTGTTATAAAATATTTATATATTTTGGATGCTCATTCTGAGGACAGTTTTCCTGCCAAAACCCATTATTGGAATATTAGTGTGCCAATTGGGTGAAGATGTGTGGAAAGATAGTATATAAGTATTTTTAAGTTTAGTTGGGGGCATGGAAGACAGCAGACAAGCTTTGTGCTCACTTGATGTGGCTGATGGAATGTCCTCTAGACTTTTGGAAGGCCTTTGCCTATCTGCACTCCTTTTCAAAGCCTTCAAAATAGGATCTAATTCTTCTTCTGAACCTGTCACAAGACAAAATACATAAACACTGCACAAACAGACACACATGCTTTAAGCGAGAGCCACTTAGAAATCAACTGCTATTTTTAACCAATGAAGAGAGATTTTTAACCCTTAGTAAAACATTAAAAATTCTAGTTTTGACAACTGTGAAAGATCAAAAGAAAAATTAGGGAAAGCTGACAGGGTTTAGTCATGGATTTGGAGGCATAATGGAATTCAAAATTACTAGATAAAAATACATGCGCTACAAAAGACCAGCAGGTTCAATAGACACAGAATTTAATCTTACTATATATTTTAGAAATATGCGTCCGTCTGTCAGTGAGCCTGTTTGTTCGAGAACTTTTCCTAAGCTGCTAGCTAAGCTGGAGCTAGGACCACCATATTTGGTATGCCGCTTCCTCTTATAACTTAAAGCAAGGTAAGGGTTTAGTTGTGCCAGGACAATGGGATGTGCCTGGAATTAAATTGTTACTCTTAAAATGGAAAGGGAGGAGTCTGCTAGCTGCAACAGTAGTGCTGTCCAATGATCACTGGGGGCAGCAAGGAGCCAGAAATAGGGACTGGAACAGCTATAACCCCATTGGGCCAGCAAGAGGCAGAGGTGGAGAAAGGGACAGCTATCTACTATATATTTTAAAAAGCTTGTCTCTTTGTGTGTCTGTCCCACCATCAGGGGATATACATTCCTCCACTGCCCGCTGCAGCAGACATGAATAGGCATGTCTCACCTGGACTCAAGCTGATGATGTGAGAGGAGCCTGGAGTTGTCCTGTCTCCCCAAAGCAGCCTGTATACTTAATCTCCTCATCCCCAGTCCTACTCCAGAACAATGACTTAAATGAAGAAAAACCAAACTAATTTGAATTAAGGATCCAAGCAACACTGGGTAAATCTTCTAGGACCTGATATTACTAAGGCTATGTCTATGGGAATTTGCATATCTTCTTCCAATCTCACTTTTGAAAGAGGATCTTTCGAAACTGAAAGTCCGGGTGCATTTTTTTCAGAAAAAAAAACCCTTTTTGGAAAAAAAC